GTTTGAACATTATAAAACAACAATAATTACACTCAGGTTATCAGTTTTCCTCACATAGTTTGAACTTTCTTTTCTTTAACTCTGTGCATTTAGTATAATTAACTGAAGAAGAAGAAGAATTTGAATATTTTTTTATTAAACACTTTACTGTAGTAACTTTCTTCTTCTGTGCTATCATGTGATTTTGATTGTTTTCAGATTTCTTGTCTTTATATTGACCATTCCATTACTTTTTGTTTTCATAATTTGCTGTGATGATTTTCTTCTCCACCTTTCTCTTGTTGTCTACTGTCCTGTGTTCAGAATGCAGTGGACAACAAGATAATGGTGTGGAAGAAGACAGCTCTCAACCAAGAAACAATCCACTAGTAATGAGGACTTTGGAGATAATGATCCAGAAAATATTTTCCTATTGTTGCTTCTTTTTGATGTTGTGGACATCAGAAAATGAGCAAGTTTTGCCTTATCTCAAAGAGTGTTACGTGTTACCCAAAACTTGATTATATCAGTTGTATCAGGAGTTATATTGTATTTAGGTTTTTGGTTACAACTATTTTGGCTTAATAAAATCGTAGACTTTATTTAAGTTTATTTGTGTTGGGATTTTTCAGAAACAATCATTGGAGGGTGTTGAAAAAATGCGAGAAGTCCTAAAGGTCACTGATGTACCCCATCCATCTGATCTTAAAGTGTGTTGATGTTTCCACATGCTGGTCTATAAATACTACTTACTGCTACAACACTGTCATGTAACACACTTTAGAATTACCAGCATGTGGAAACATCATGGACAATATATATATATATATGTATAGTGTTTTAATACACTGAAGGCCTCTATAAACAGTATGAATGAGTTAAAATAACCAACTTCTGACATACGTATGCAATCAGTACATTTCTACATGTGCATCATTTACAATCCTCAGGATGTCGAGTCAATGATCGATTTTCATCCCTGTGGTGAGCAGCATATTGGGCACCAAAATAGCTATTGCATCAGTGATCTGTTCACATAATGTCCCCAGATCAGTCATCTTTGTCCTATAGACAATGTCTTTCTCAAAAATGTCCTGAGGAGTGATGTCTGGTGACCGTAATGTCCAGGAAATTAGCACATCTAAGGTTCTTTTCTCATGTAACATGATCCGACGTTGTTTACTCCGTCAGCACCATTTGTTGATAGAATTAATAATAGGTACGCAAACAATGACTTACAGTCATAAGCCGTTGTTTACTTACCTCCTTTTATACGCTTCCTCAGTCATGTATCTTGATAGAATTTTTAACTGGTGGACTTTTTCATAAACTTTAAAAAATTATCTTGGCACTGTAATAGGCATCTGTACTAGCCACAAGATGCACATAGCCTTCTCTGTCACCATACTTGGTATGCCCTATACATGTTCCTTTCCTCTACCATGAACTGTAAGTTCAAAACTGTTTATGGTTTAAGTCAGTAATACTTTACATAATTTTTGGTCATTCAAATGTTATAATTCCATTTATTCATCTCTCTTTAGTTTGAGGAGAAAAAGACAAGATTTTCAAATATTTACTGTTTTAAAGTATCAATTGCTAATATAAATCATTCTTTCAATCCTATTGAGAAATTGTTTGAAAATGAAATTTTTAGCTTTGTTTGTTTAATATTTTACAAAATATTGAGCAGATAAAATAAAGTAAAACTGTGTAAAAAAATATATATTCAAGATCCAGAAATGTTTGAATTGTAATGAAATGATACAGTAAAAGTCCAGTAAATTGACACTTTTTAGAAAATCTTTAGAAAGAATTCGAAGAGAAATATACTTATCATTATGTTTTCAACAGGATCTTACAAATAGGATTCAGGGTGAAAGCTTTGTGAAGTCAGATTTAGTTGAAGCTGAAAATGAAATGAATTTCGATGCGACGGAACCAAATCCTTTTATTTTATTTGGTATGTTTTTATGCATTTTTACTTAAAAGTCATTCAGCAATAATTAATGTTTATAGAACTTTATCATAATATTTAATAGATTAGTATAGCTGCTTATCATAATGTTTAATAGGTTAATGTAGCTGCTTATCATAATATATAATAGGTTAATGAAGCTGCTTATCATAATGTTTAATAGGTTAGTATAGCTGCTTATCATAATGTTTAATAGGTTAGTATAGCTGCTTATCATAATATTTAATAGGTTAATGTAGCTTCTTATCATAATATATAATAGGTTAATGAAGCTGCTTATCATAACAGTTGATGTACTATAAGTGAAATGTAAAGAAATTATTAATGGAGACTTATTAGGTGATGCACACATAAGTTACAAATAATTAAATAATGAATAAAGATACGAAACAGGAAATATTATGAATGCTTTCCTTTACACCATGTTTTCATTCAGTGGTAAAGTTTATCAATATACGAGTGTGATATATTGTCTTGTCTTACTCCCTACTCGCTTGTTTTAAATACTTATAACCAACTTCAATAATGCTTCTATCAGGGCCTTGTGAAATATGTGAATTACAGCCTGTTCAAGTTGATGCTATCAAAGTTAATAGCAACAGTTAGTGGTTATAAGAGGAAAAGGCTTTTAGTTCGAATTTGTTACAGATGATAAAATTTAGTGAGAAACTCTACAGTGAGATAAAGAATTCAACTTTCATGAGGATATAACTACAGGAGATTTTAATTTTAGAGATATAGATGTTTAAATGTCAGAGTCAAATCTTGAGAGAGACAGGTTTTCTTCAACATTTTATTAGAAAACCTACTAAGAACATTTTATATTTATTGTTGACTTCTAGTAAAGAAATGGTTGATGAGGTAGAGGTTGGAGAACATCTGGATGTAAAAAGATCATTTCTTAATTTGATGTGATGTTTTGCTTCGTACGGAGATAAGAAATAATGAAAGTTTAGTTCCAAATTTGTAAGAAAATCAAACTTTGAAGAGATGAAACAGGAATTATCTGTTGTGAACTGGGCAACTAAATTGGTTTGAGATATCGATCAAATGTAGAAATGTTTTAATAACAAATTCTTAAATATTCAGGATAGGCGTATTCATAAATTCTGTTCCGGGAACTTTAGACATCTATTATGAAATACACAAACTGTCACAGAAAGTATTTAATGTGAAACCAAATAATAAAGTTAACCCTAACTGAACCTACCATAAACATCATCTCTAGTGTTCATTGATCACATTTATAATGGTCATTTTAAGACCCTACAAATTTTATTGCCTGTTCTCCAAATTCCACAGCTCAAGGTCCTCTCTTGCAACCTCTGGAAATCTCACCAACAGTTTCTGCCCGAGTGAATGGGTTATGGTTCAGTGAAAATATCCGTCAGAAGCCTTTTACCAAGACAATAGATTGTCTTGCTGTGAATTGTTGTTCTGGATGATTTGCTGATATAGGTGAAGAATAATATGTTCTTACAACATTTTTTTACGATGGAACCCATTTACAGAAGCAATTTGAGCATGTCCAGTTTCACCAACAGAGAAATAAGGATTGATGATGAAAGTGCAAGGTTGTGGTGAAGCCACACCATATAGTAATGTAAGGATCGTGAACAGGCTTTTGATGGACTATATGTGGGTTACTGTGGATAGCATTTGTTGATTGGACATATCCAAAGAATAACCATATTTCATTGATCATCAATCTAGCCAAAGCCCGATGTCCAGTTATAAAAGCTAGATCAATATTCTTAACAGTAACTAATAAACTTTGAGCTTTAGTGTTTTTGATTATCATCCACACTGTCCCCTAAGAATGCTTCTCAGTCTCGAACAATCCAATACTGTTTCCACAGGTGCAGATGGCTGCCCAGGATGAGAATCATATTTTACTGATGCAGTTACATCGAACTAACAACTTAATTTTCAAACTTATAAGGAACTGAGCATCCATTGTCTCTTGAGAAATGTCTTTTGACCAAAGTGAAACTGCTGTTAGTTTGAAAGCATAGTTGAACAGTTGTAGACGATGGCATGCCTAATTTACTCACAACACTAATCCTATAATATTGAACGAGAAGGAGATGGACAAGAAATAAAAGCTATGCTAGGCTAATCTGTGACAAAAGTGACATAACTATTAATATGATTTTGAAATGCCCTTTACTATCCCTAAACTTTTCTAAAGATAATTTAAAATTATGAATTAACCTCCAATCACATTTTGTTCTCTTAGGATACAGTCATTTTTAGCAGGGACTCACTTTATAATTGCTCTGGAAAAATATATTTAAAAACATTTTGATCATAAGCCAATTACCTGCTTCCCTTAGGATACAGTCATTTTTAGCAGGGACTCACTTTATAATTGCTCTGGAAAAATATATTTAAAAACATTTAGATCATAAGCCAGTTTCCTGCTTGGATCGTAACTTGATCGTTAATGAACACATCTCCCATCCATATTTATATATATATATCTTTTGTTCTCTTATCTTAAGAACCGTGACTTCTTAGAGTTCCCCAGCACGTCAAGATGACTTGGTAACTGAAATACTCCTTCATGCTCAGATTTTTCACCAGATATACCTGTATAAAGATTGTAACTTTGTACGTAGCTTAAAACCAACATGTTCTGATTCAAAATGTAAAAATAACAACATAATTACTAAACACTACTGTTTACTGAAAAGGTTAGTATTATACACTAAATTGGAAAACTTTGCCTCCAGGTTCATCATCTTGATTATCATCACTAACTTCCATTTGTCTCGTTACCTCTTCATCACCACACATTTGAACACCACTTGACTCACTTTCACTATCTTCTAAAATATCTGAGTCAAACATATTTACAAAGTAACTATGGTTTCTACTCGCTGCTTTAGCGATGCGGAAATGGTCGGCACGCAGTTGTTGTACATTCCGCTAAGGCATCTTGTTGGTTACCGAAGGGCCGAGTGGTAATCATTGAGAGAAACCATATATCAACATTAGGTGGAATGCCAATAAATACTTTCCATTTTACTCCCACACATCATGCACGGCAATTTTGAATGACAATGGGAAATGTTTGTCCCAGTTGCGTTGTGAGGGGGGTTGGGAGCACTGAAGAATATATACATCCCAGTCACAGAGAAAGGATTAATTATACCATTTTTATTCTAGTTAGTTTATAGGAGTTCAAGTATACACGATTTTCTTACATTAATCTCAACAACCAATAGTGATTATTCTTACACTAATCTCAACAACCAACAGTAACTGTTCTTACATTTATCTCAACAACCAACAGTAACTGTTCTTACATTTATCTCAACAAACAATAGTGACTGTATATACTATATTTAATAATAAGTTAAACAAACAACCAATAATTTCACTTTTAACATTCTCCAAGTTGGATCAGCAGGAAGATATACCTTTTCAGCAGATTGAGCTTGGGCTTTGCTGAGGGCACGTTTCTTCTTGGCTGCCTCGGCTTCTTTAGCACTTCCCCCATTAACTAAGAACAGAAAAACACAGCTGATTTAAAATAATTTCCTGAATTACAACAGCAGAAAATGTTTTAAAACTTCTCCTTTAACCCTTTCACTGTAGCTGGGACATATAATTCCCAGTGCTCCTACCCCTTCACACTGAGACTGGCACAAATGTTTACCATTGTCGATGCTGTTTATGCCTTCCTCTTCTGGTTATTGTTTTTATATTATGAATGAAGAAAATATTATACTGAGCAACAACCAATAGTGACTGCTTTTTCATTGCAAGTTAATAAAATATTGATTATTACATCTTATAAATACAACTCATATTCAATGAATGAAGAGTGTTGACCTCAAAAACCCATAGTGACTATTCTTGCATTAATCTCAACAACCAATAGTGATTATTCTTACACTAATCTCAACAACCAATAGTGACCTATTGGTCATTATGTTCCAAACTATTCATTCACAATGTAAGAACAGAAGCTATTGGTCATGGTATTGAACATTTTTAATGAAAGTATTTTATCCTAATAGAGAATAAGTTATAATGTTTTATAATGTAATACTATCAGTAATATAGCATGCAGTGTTCTGGGATTGAATAGTTTGTGTATTTGTTTTTTAGGCACGGAAGATTGTTGAAGACATGAAAACAATTTCTGCAGAGATTAAAAGTAATGTTATGAAGAAGATCTTGAATGGAGAACCTGTTTATGAAGTACAAAGTCCAAAGGGATTTTTTATGTCTGTTCAGAAGTAAGACAGTTTTTATATATTCTCTATATAATGAATGTTTTTATTAAACAAATTATCTGTTTTATTTTTCCATATTCGGGACATATATTATGGAAGTAAGAGGAAAGGAGAAAAGTTAGTACAAGTCTTGGTTCTGAAGAGCTTGTTGTCTCCCGAGAAGTCGAAAAGCTAGTACAAGTCTTGGTTCTGAAGGGCTTGTTGTCTCCCAAGAAGTCGAAAAGCTAGTACAAGTCTTGGTTCTGAAGGGCTTGTTGTCTCCCAAGAAGTCAAAAAGCTAGTACAAGTCTTGGTTCTGAAGGGCTTGTTGTCTCCCAAGAAGTCGAAAAGTTAGTACAAGTCTTGGTTCTGAAGGGCTTGTTGTCTCCTAAGAAGTCGAAAAGTTAGTACAAGTCTTGGTTCTGAAGGGCTTGTTGTCTCCCGAGAAGTCGAAAAGTTAGTACAAGTCTTGGTTCTGAGGGCTTGTTGTCTCCCAAGAAGTCTAGATGGCTTGTTGTCACCCAAGAAGTCTAGATGGCTTGTTGTCACCCAAGAAGTCTAGATGGATTGTTGTCACCCAAGAAGTCTAGATGGATTGTTGTCACCCAAGAAGTCTAGATGGCTTATTGTCACCCAAGAAGTCTAGATGGGTTGTTGTCTTTTCTGGCTTCTTCTATGGTCTGTGTCTGATTGAAATGACTGTTAAAGTTTCACAAAGTTTTAAGATCGTATCTCTTGAGCCACAAATGAGATGGAGAGTGTACATTTCTGACACTTTAAACCTAAAAATCTACCATGGAAACAACAAGAAAGTGACACATTTCCCCAAAAAAATGAAATTTAAAACCCAAGATATTACATTTTGTGCATCAATAGGTTAACATGTAGTAAATTATATATCGTCAGTTTTTTTCATCAGGCCACATTTTTTACTATCAGGGGTGTATTCAGCATCTTATAATATGTATTTAACGATTAATCACAAAGTTATTATTTTCCACATGAGAGATAAACATAGCTCATTTTTCTCATGTCCATTCGTTTTTTATCTTGGTGCGAGGATGATTGACAGGTATTAGATCATGTTCTTCTAATAAAACAAATACAAAGATGAATAGATGCAGACATTAAAAACTAAAACTTAATGTCAAGAAGCGACAGACTTTACTAAAAAAAAGTTAGTTTTGCAGAATTTAAATATTTAGATGAGTTTTGTACACATTTCATGAGCTCATAGAGTTGTTACATATTTTAATGAATTGCTAACACATTTTTGGAACTCATTGTTGGTTAAGGGAAAGAAAATCTTTAACTTTTTGTTTTGCTTCAGAAAAGCCATCCTTGGAATACATCTATATTATTATTCTGCTTGTTTGTATGTACGACCGTTACGCTTTCTGACCGAGAACCTGCTGCATAAGCATGCGTAGTTTGAATGTTCCCCAAGAAAAACCGCGCATGCGCATTATTCACTCCACGACAAACAGTCTGCCTGCAGCAGAGAGCTGCAAAGTTCAGTAATCAAGTCGCTACAACTGCTGTATGAAACAAGAAGTAACAACAAAAGGGGAATGTAAATATACTTTACTAACCATTTTGTACAACAAAATATTGAATACTTATC